GAGAACAAGAGAACTACAGAGGAATGGAAACAAGCTTAGCATCACCAAGTCAGCTGAACCTCAAAGGATTACTATACCCCCTAATGGATGTGTTGTGGTCAAAGGATATTTGGATAGAAAGTTGCCCTACCAGCAAGTTCTTGCCATGCTACAAGCAACAAAACGCTCCAGTATCCCGACTGATTTGGACATCACACCATCATTACATTTCTACAACTTTGAGGATAGCCATAATGTTCCAGTTGAGATTAGCAATGTCACTACAAGAACAGTTTCTATTGCACCTAGAGCCATTCTTTGTGAGCTGCAACCAGTCACCATTTTGAATACAGAGATGAGCAAGTCATCATTTATACCTGAAATGGACAGCTTATTTGAGAAGATTAAGATCTCTCCGAATATTTCATTAGAGGAGCAGAAGAGATGTAGAGATCTGATTACTGAATATGCAGATATTTTCTCAAAGAGTTCTACGGACATTGGAACGACGGACAAGGTCAAGCATAGAATAGACCTACATGATCCGACACCGTTCAAAACAGAAATACAGAAGAATTCCTCCTGCTGTCATTGAGGAAGTAAGGACACATATACAGGAACTTCTAGCAAGCGGTGTTATACGTCCGTCCCATTCACCATTTTCGTCTAATGTGGTCCTTGTAAGGAAACATGATGGGTCATTACGCCTCTGTATAGATTACAGACAGCTAAATTCAAGAACTATCAAAGATAATTATGCCCTACCACGTATAGACGAGATATTAGATTCATTATCAGGGAACAGATTCTTTACAGTACTTGACATGAAGTCCGGGTATCACCAGATTGAAATTGGAGGCACACAAAGAGAGAACTGCATTTACTGTGGGGCCATTGGGATTTTATGAGTTCAACAAGATGAGCTTCGGACTAGCCAGTGCGCCTGCCATCAGCGTTTGCAAGAACGGTGCCTAAGTGACCTGTACTTAAAGATCTGTTTTATTTACTTGGATGACCTGATAATCTACTCTAAGACTTTTGAGGAACATCTTCACAGACTAAGACAAGTTTTCGACCGAATTAGACAATTTCATCTCAAATTTTCACGCAAGAAGTGTTCATTCTTAATGAATAAAGTCAAATATATAGGACATATCGGATGTGAAGAAGGAGTGGAAGCAGACCCGGATAAGATAGACAAAGTTAAAAACTGGCCCACCCTGTAAAACCCAGAAGAAGTAAGATCATTTCTAGGATTTGTCGGTTATTATAGAAAATTTATACAGAACTATGCCAAAATTGCACGTCCATTGATAGATATTATGGCTACTGGAAAGAAGACTAGGAACAGAAAAGAACAGTCTCCAAAGTGGAAGTGGGGTGAGCAACAAGCACAGGCTTTTAAGGTTTTAAAGGACAAACTTACTACTCCCCCTATACTTGCATACCCTGATTTTACCAAGCGTTTTGAGCTACACACAGATGCCTGTGGAACAGGACTTGGAGCCGTTCTATACCAGGAACAAGATGGACACAACAGAGTTATCGCCTATGCCAGCAGGGGATTGTCCAGATCTGAAAGAAATTATCCCACACATAAGTTGGAGTTTTTAGCTCTCAAATGGACGATAACAGAAAAAATTTCAGATTACCTTATGGGTCAGACATTCTCTGTATATACGGATAACAATCCATTGACGTATGTTTTAACCTCCGCCAAGCTTGATGCAACTGGACATAGGTGGATTGCTGCCCTTTCCGCATACCAGTTCACCATTACGTACAAGCCTGGCAGGACAAATGCAGATGCTGATGCCCTTTCTCGACTTCCAGAGACTCTCAGTACTGAGTCAGTTAGAGCCATATGTAATCTGGAAGAAGGACATCCTCTCATTGAAACTTTACCAGTACATCTCGCAGTTAGCCAGAATATAAAGCCATCAATCCATGACTCTGATACATTCCAGAGGATAGACCTCCATGATATACAAAAGAAAGATTCCTTGATATCTATTTGGAAGGATTATGTCAGGAATGGTAAAAGACCAAAGAAAGATACCATTACAGGAGAACTGGATAAAGCCATGTATCAGAATTTCAAAAAGTTCAGGATTGTGGATGATTTATTGGTCCGAGTTACATGCGCAGATGATGACACTGAACATAAGCAAGTGGTTGTCTCCAAAGAAGTTGTACCAACTATCCTTAATTTCCTCCATAACCAGATGGGACATCCTGGCAGGGAGAGAACAACATCACTGGTAATGTATATAATGTATAGGTTTTATTGGCCAAGGATGCGGAGAGATATTACCACCTGGATAGAGGAGTGTGACAGGTGTCTGAAATTTAAAACTCCAGATAACCAACGTGCATCCATGGTCAACATTACAACTTGTCAACCCGTGGAACTCGTGTGTATGGATTATTTGACTCTGGAACCTTCAAAAGGTGGAATTCAGAACATCCTTGTAATAACAGACCATTTTACCAAATTCGCCATTGCTGTTCCTACAAGAAATAAGACTGCTAAGACTACAGCCGATGCTTTATTTAACAACTTCTTCATCCCTTATGGACTTCCAAACAAACTTCATTCAGGTCAAGGAGCCAACTTTTCAAGTAAATTAATCCAGGAACTATGTCAGTTTACCGCTATATCCAAATCCAGAACAACACCATATCATCCGATGGGAAATGGTGTTACTGAGCGATTCAACAGAACTTTGATTTCCATGTTAGGAACATTACAGCCAGACCAGAAGTCAAATTGGAAAGCACATATCGGACCACTTGTTCATGCATATAATTCTACCAACATGAGACGACAGGCTATTCACCCTTTTTCCTGATGTTTGGTAGGGAACCAAACTTACCTGTAGATTTAGTCTTTGGATTGGATAATGGAGAGAAAACTAAATCTACTTCAGCATATATAGAGAAGCTTAAACAAAGACTTACTAAAGCTTATGACGCAGCAAACACTGCTATAGGATACAGTCAGGCTCGTCAGAAAGCCAACTATGATTTAAAGACAAAAGGAGCTACTTTGGAGATAGGTGATAGGGTGCTAGTGAAAGTGGTTGCCTTCGAAGGAAAGCATAAGATTGCAGACCCCTGGGGGGATTTCCCATATATTGTTCTAGAGCAACCAAATAACAATATTCCAGTGTTTAAAGTGAAGAGAGAAGATGGTGAAGGAAGGTGTAGGACATTACATCGCAATTTACTTCTACCAATAGGTTCTAGGATCCCTCTTCACCACCAACACCCAAGTACGCCACAACCAACACCACGTATATCAACAAGGAGAAAGGTTAAGCCAACCTGAACAAAAGATTATGTTATGTCCCTTCAACATCACCCAGAATGGATGCAGAAGGCAGCCTATCTGGAAAAGATAGTTGAAGATGGAACTTTCCAGAAGCTAGATAAGGAGGCATCCAGAGCCCTTATTAGCATCATTACAGGTAAGTAATGTTTTAATTGTATACTGTGGAATCATTTTAATTCGTGGGGGTCAATGTTCGTGGACAAGCAAAATTTTACTTGTTCGAGGGGACGTAATTTCGTGGGTTACTCGTTCCTACGGTAGATTCAATTAATAAATATGTTTACAAAATAAACGTTCGTGAGGATGTAAATTCGTGGGTAAGGGTAACCCACGAAATCCACGAACATTTGTCCCCCACGAACAATGATGATTCCATAGTATATTGTTTCTTTTATGCCAATACACAATACTTTGTGTCACATTCTAAGTCCTGTCAATGGCGAGGACGCCATTCTCGCACCAGGGGGAGAATGTGGCAGATACATATTTTATTATTTTTCTTTGCATTCATGTATATATTATGTACATGTATGATAAGTGTCATATGATGTATTTATTTTGATTTGAAATGCACATATTGAATAATATAATTATTCAGTTTAAAGCCTTTTGTGTGCATTCACCCATGGTTTGTCAATAGGTGTATATAGATAGAAATGGCCATAGGTCATTAATTATACCCAGGCCTAATTTTGGATGTTTCTTTTAATTTCATTGGTGTTTTACTTTGTATTTTACTTGGGGATTGGTTCATGTTTTTCCCTCCAGAAGGTTCTTGGTTTTCTGGACATTCTTTGTCCAGAGGTTGGTCAGTCATCATGTGTATTTGGTTATCTGACATTTTGACTATGACCTTTTGATAGAGACCGACTTTTCTTCTCCTTCTGGTAAGTTAACAATTTATTACTAATATTAATATGATTCTAATATTTAAATTAAATGTCCAGTCTATAATTTTGCATATTTAATATATTTCCCAAGCACTTTCCCTGAGTAAATGAGATCAGTGAGAATGATATTTTAAAGTATGATGTAAATAGAAAGATCTCATTGTTAACTATTTTTAAGGTAACATATTTTTATGTTATGGTGTGTAATATTGTGTAATTAATTTACAGATCCCTCTGAGACTGTATACATTGTATATATGCAGCATTATTGCTTGCTGTTACACACCTATTCCCATAGAATGGTATGCATATAATGATTTTATGATTATTCAGTAATATATAATGTTCAAGTACATTATGATGATAATTATTGTAAAGTTTTATGATGGGAATTGATTGTTCTTTAATTGTGGAGAAATATATGTATATATTCTATGTATAATGAATTATCTCCCTTGACAATCATTGTATTATTTTTATGCTTATATTTACACTTGTTATTTTGTTAATATTGCAGGGTTTCCTCATTTGATTTTCTCATTTACCTGGCAATAAAGTCTTGTCAAAAGAACCCTCAACAGGCTGTTATTCTTCAATAACCCAAAACCTGTTACATGTATACAATTTACTGTCTATCTTTTTTAAACATATATATACCTTCTTATTAGGCGACGAATTTATCAATGTAGTGAAATTTATTTGCTAAGTACATTTGTATATGAACCTGTATGTTTGTCTCAAACATCTGGTGAAAGGCCATTTTTGTATTATTAAATTGTATTTATTTCATAGATTACCATCAATAAACGTTCTAACTGCTGCCATCATCTCATTAAACACTTCTCCTTCCATACTACCAGATATATCTAGCAACAAACAAGTATCAGGCCCCTTTCCAACTGGTAACGAATTCGAAGATAGGCCTACAATTGAAGAATTTGTATGTTCTACCAGTGTAACAGTAAATGTTTTTGTTCATTTATTTAAAGCTTATATGCCTATGTTGTGAAGTAGTTAATGTTGCCAAATTCTATTAAGAGGTTAACGTATTGATAAAACAATTTATTCATATATAAAAGGACTTGCCCCTTTGTCTCTCTGTCTCAGCCAAAGTTCTCCAACTGCTTAGGTCCCTGATGTCAGGAGCGGCGTTTGGGTCCTTGTTTAAACCCGCTGAACAAAAAATAATGACATACGATTATACTGAGTATTCATGGTAATCAGGGTTATCCATGACACTTTTTCTGCGTACAAGGTCACGGTAAAATAAACTGAATATCTGGCCCCAACGTACTTAGTAAAATTCACTGTGCTTTATCAAGATCTGCCGTTGTTGCAGAGGTCTAGATGAAGACATGAGTAATTATTCATTTTAAAAAAATTACATGTATATATATCCATTATGTTAATCCCCACATTAATTTGATTTTGTCTGTCATTACGACTAAAATGTTATTCTGACATCTCCGAAGACCCTGTTCACGCACTTTGAGCGACAGTAAAATTTTAGTGATGGAGAACCCTGATCATTATGAATAAACTAATGTTAAGTCTCACCAAGATTTTTATACTCGTTCTTTATAACCAGTGGATGATATGTCGCTCTGAAATAATAATTTCAAAAAAAATGAAAAGGTGTCTTTCACTAATTAACAATCTTCAATGAGTCATGTTCTTTCACTAATTAACAATCTTCAATTCCCATTGAGTACATGACTCATTGAAGATTGTTAATTAGTGAAAGTCAAAAGTATGCGAAATCTAAATATATTTTCTAAATTCAGTGGTAATAGAAATACACTGTAGAAATGCACAAACAATTGAAAACCCACTGTTTTGTCTTTGATGTTGTCTGTTCTTCATCTGAAATAAGCTTCAAATTGTCTCTCGTTGGCAGATTCTCTTTGACTGTCTTTTCTTCTTCATTAGCATCAGAGGAGGCTGTCGGGGCTGGTCTGGACATCGGTTGACCTTTAACAATGCCTTCATCTTTCATCAAACGAACACGATTATCAATGTCGGAAGACACTGCTCTACTTCTCAATCCGTAAGTATTTGTTTTTAATGTTGGCTTTCCTTCAGTCTTGGGTGGTATCGAAGTCTTTCTAGAAATGTTCGTCAAGATCTGTGTTTTCGGTATTTGCTCATTATGTTGGTCTTTTGTATCTATTTTCCTCATCAAGTTGCTGTCCTTACTTTCAGAATCATTTACTTCTGACGCACAAGTATATGAGACACATCTCGATTCTGCTAAATGTATTCCTTGTTTTTCTGATCTATCATTAGTTGTGGATGATACATTTTTCTTTTGTGTTCTTCGATTATTTTCCACATTTTGATCTTTCCTTTGTGTACGGCTGTTGACAGTTGTGGATAGTTCGTTTACTCTATCATTTAAAATAGATAGGGTATCGTTTAAGGTTTTGAGGTCTCTTTTACTATTCCTGCTTTGGTCTTTCAATATGGCCAACGTTCTGATAAAATCTAGATAAAATAAATGTATATTTTTTGAATAGGCTAGTGAAAGAAATCTTGAAAAAAAATGTTGTTAACCCCAACCTAACCCTTTAAAAATCCCTGTATCTCATCTTTCGTGCACGTACGAAATCAAAACTATTTTCATACTCAATAAGTATTCATAGCTAACATTGTAGCAAGATCCTCTACATAAAAAATTCCACTTGTCTAATTGGGGAACCTAGATCACATACTGAAACCATTTGTATACCTTTTATTAATTACAGCAGTTAACTCTTGTAAGTTGTTAAAAAGTCATAAATCTTCTTTTATAATGAGTATTTTCATTTTTTTTTTTGGCAGATTATTTTGAAATAATTAACAGTATTTTGTATCACAGCTTATAAGAATCCCTATCAGTGTAAAGTAGAAGGGATGATTATCTTATTTCTCTCGAGTTTTGCAACAGTTTTAAAAAACTCTATTCTTAACTATTTACGTTATACAGCAATGGAGAAATGATATCAAGAATACAACTAGTACTGAAAGTGTTCCATGGAACACATGTATCGCCTGCTTTATAGCATCATTAAAGATGTAAATAAATCCAAGAGAGTGGTCAGCTCTTTATTTACAAGTAGTATTATAGTTCATGTATTTCAGGGACATTTTGTTACAGTAACTAATATAGTGAAAGAAAGGCGCATTTGGTACTGTATTTATAAAATTTGGTTGTGAAAAAAGTTGCAACCACCCCCCACCCCCCTCGCACACACACCAGCAAGCACACGAAAAAAGACTTTTAGACTCTTTGGTAATGTTCTTTCTTTTCTTTTTTAAATCTTTTAAATGATGATTATTTATTTATTTATTAAATTTGCTTATCTAAGATTTTTTAAGTTGACATTTTTTTTCTGGCTGTTCCTTCCTTCAAAAACGATACTACATGTACATGCATGCATTTGCCTGCAAAGAAAAATATCCAGAGAAAGACTTCGATAGAATGGCAATTATCATATACTGTACGTGTACAAATATTCAAAGATGTGCGAACAAGGCGAGCGAAATGCCTATAGTGCGACAAACATGAAGGCGAAAAATTAAATTTCAATTTTAACAAAATTTTCTTTGATATTTCATCGAACATTAAAGCATATTTTATGTAAAATCTCCACAATTTGCAAAAACTCAGAAAGATTGAAATTATCTGCCTCTGAAATTGCATACACACACTCAAGAGGGTAAAAAGGATCATTTTCTCACACTATAGCACAATTTTTCGATATGAGTGGATCTTCGCTCCATTTTTTGAAAGATTATCCTCAAAGTTTACAAAAATATATACATTTTTTAATTAACAAAAAGATAGAGCAAATACCAACTATATCTTAAAAATACACTTTTATGACACAACATTCGCATCTTTCCGAGAAAAACTTAAGTCTATTTAGTCAAGGGTCATATCACAAACATGATTTAAATACCACTATTCATCAGGAACTGTGTAGCGTAGTGGTTAGCGTGTTAGTCTCAAAGGAAAATGATACTCAGGATTGTCGGCGGGCAAGGTGAAGTTAATACTGAAAGCTCGCAAGAGAAGGAATTGGCTACGATTTGACAGCGACAAATTTTAGTAAATTTCATTATTTCAAACATCAAAATATTAACTTTAAATAATTATCACTTTCAAAGACCCCCCGTATAGCTCTTAAGCTGTATATCAGCTCTATGAACTATTTTGAAAAGAAGGTCAAAGGTCTGGTTCAAAGGTTACGAGGTGGGTAATCCTGGTATTTTACAGATGTCATAGTGCCAAGTTTTTTCAAGTGCAAAATATTAAATCCATACCTATTGCAGTTCTCAGGATATATAACGTGTGACAAACGGACGATGGACAGACGGACAGACGCCAGGTAAAGTGATCCTTAAGTGTCGCTTTGCTTTACAGGTGACACAAAAATGTGTAAAAGTATATCGCCCAGCTAAATACCCAATACTAAAATACCCAATTTCGCTTTATATTATAAGCATAAAGAACTAATTCAAAATTATATTTTATATATATATTATACATATATAGCCCTTTCATGAGGTCGATCCATAGATATATCGACCTCACAGAAAAGCGTATCGACCGAGGACGAAGTGCGAGGTCGATCTGATTTTCTGTGAAGTCGCTATATCAATGTAAGAGCTACATTTGTTATATTTTTTTTTTTTTACAAAATTGACAATTTTTTTTTTAAATTCAATTGGAAAAAGCCACAATTTTTTCTCTCTTGTCTTTTTTTAACACATTTAGTCTATAAAGATCCAAATAAATTAAGCTGTTTAATGTAATTGTGTTTCTTTTATACAGATAGAGTAATTTAGGGAATTAACTAATTTAAAAGGCTACATTTATTTTAGTATATTCTGTACCGATTTATGAAAAACATATCTAATATGTTTTAATATAGAGTAGACCCTTATTCAAGGCCTTGTTACGTCTTACCAATTATTACAGAACATCACAATTATAAATAGGAGTTGAAGTATATTTTTTTTAAAACATCAAGTCATGCACTGTATTAGCTATTGTGAAGTCAGCACTGTTGTTGTTTTATAGAAGATTATTTCCATTTTTAGATTTTAGAAACATCAAGTCTTTATGCTGTTATATACAAAAAAAATGTACTTGATCATGTGATCAAGTTTGAGCCAATCAGAGAGATTGGACTAATAGAGAAAAATTATATATATATATTTATTTTACTTTTGTTAAAATGTTTCCTATAAAAAGTTAAGAAGGTAAAATAACTATCTTTCATAGTCTGAAAATTTCCACTCATAGCAAAGCTATACCCCGGGGTATAGTTTTTGCTACCCACCCCTCGGAAAATGTTCATGCAATTTTTGCCGCCAATTTTGATTTTCTGTAATTAATCTATAGACTTATGATGTCATCCTGACTTCAGTAGCATTGTGACGTCATCAGGATTTCAGCTCATTCAAGCAGTGTTATCTTATTCCAAATACTTTTTCAAAACTTTTGTAATTTTTCATGTTTTTCCTATGGAACTTTAGTATCAGGTAAATCCAAACTTCAGAAATTATGATACACATCAGTATGATAAAACGCTTATCCACTGGCTGTGAGTGGGATAGCTCTTTCATCAAACCCTTGACAGGAACTATTCCCTGTCGCGGGTTTGATAAAAGAGCTATCCCACTCACAGCCAGTGGATATGTATATATATATATATATATATATATATATATATATATATATATATATATATATATATATATATATATATATATATATATATATCCCACTCACAGCCAGTGGATATGTGTGTATATATATATATATATATATATATATATATATATATATATATATATATATATATATATATATATATATATATATATATATATATATATATATATATATATAAAGAAATACTATATCAAGTCAAAGACAAAGTCCTAGTTCGAATGTTGAATGAGGCACATATTTACCAGTTGTTGGCTTTATCACCGAATTTGCACACCTAAAGAAAATTAAGATCAAATTAAGACAATTCAAATTAAGTTTCTACAAAGATAACATTTCACTTTAATACATGTAACATTTGTCTCATTGCTTTTTTAAGTATGAGCTTACCTATCTCTTTCATTCAATTTACTTAGTATTGCAGAATTAGATTTTTCCAATTCAGAAAGTTTTCCCTTCAACACCTTCAACTGTAATTTTAATTGATTAGACAATTGATAAAGATTTCATTATACTGCATAGTGCATTACTTCAGCATTCACCTTTTTTTATTGAAAGCATTTATAAAAAGTACTTATGTTTATGTCACCTGTTCAAACAAAATTTTGGAGGTCGTCATTTTACATCTTCAATCCTGTTTACTGTTAATCATCTGAAATAAAATTCAAAGACCATTTAAGAGTCATTCTCTGTAATGACTTGAACTTTTATATAGGAGCTGTGGCACGCATAGTCTCAGAATTTCTCCAAACTCTCTATGATAAAAGTCTTTAATGCCGTTAACTCAAATCAGGCAAAAATTTGTTGCTACATGTCATGGTTACCATAGCAACATGTCCTAACGTTTGAAAAACGGCATTTATTTTTCAACATGTTTAGGGTCCCACAGTTAACGTTTGCAGCAAAGCAAACAAGTGGCAATGACTGTTTCTGAACGTTGAAGGCCTGATATCTTAAATGCATGACAAACATGTTTGGTAAATCAACTATTAAATACGTTACTATATAAACAAATTATATAAAAGTAATAATTTTGTTCATTTAATTTTATAAAGTCATACACTTAAGAATAAAAACAATTATAGGTTGAAATGCAAGCAAATAGTAGACAAAAGATCCTTGTAACATATACCAAGGACGAAATATGATATTTCTTATAGGTTGGCAATGGTTGCCATGGTTTTAATAAAACGAATGGATTTTAAATTTACTCTCTTAGTGTTTTAATCTTATCCCATCTTTCTAAAAAGCATATTTCTATATAACTGATGATCAATTTTTAAAGGCCTTGGTGTGACCCTAATTTTCACATTTCAAAAAATTCAAATTCAATTCTTTAAATAGAGCGTTGCTATGGAAATTAGCCGAAAAAATATGCATAAAAATCTGAAAAATATTCTGTTTCCTTGGATACGTACCCTTGTATGTAGATTCCCAAAACTTTTATGATTGATATTCATGAACAACTAACCTGACTTTCAATTTTGACTACCACCCAATCTCTAACTGGATGCAAAAAGCTGGCACATAAGATTTAATATTGATTTAATATTAACAAAATCGAACATTTTTCCTTCTTGGTAACCATAGCAACAGTGTTGTATTTTTCAACAAACTTTATCAATATATGATATTCAACTTAAGTTCTACCAGATAAGTACTATTCAAGGTGAGTGATATAATATGTTTCTTGATTAAAAGGTAAGTAACTTCCTAAGGCAGCAAAAAATATCACTTTAAACAACTGGTACGTTGTTTCCATGGTTACACTGCAAAGTAACAGTTAATCCCAGTTTTTCTTATGATGTCGGTGTTGCAAGGTCCTAAGGATGTATATGTGCCAGTCATAAATTTAATTGTTTTTCCTCAAGATAGTAGCATTAACCCAATCTTAGCAACATATTTTGCATGGTTACACTGTGTTACCATGGCAACCATGAAAGTCATTTTAGAATAATATTGCCAATACCTAATTACGTAAGGTCAAACATTTTTATTGTTTTTTTTTTAGGTTTTTGATTGAGTTTGGTCATGCAACACCTATCATTAGTGAATATTGAGCGTTTTTCAGCATTTTTCAGCATCTAAAATGTATTCCAAATGTACCCATGGTTACCACTTACTTAGAGATAAAGTTTCTTTACAGCATAAGTGGCAACAAGGTGTCATGTTTTTATGAGAATGGTTTATTTGGTTTTTTTTTTAGTCTTTATTAAGGCTTAAGAAAGATTCAAAGTAGCTGAAAATCTCAATGTTTCCAACTTTTCTGGCTGTTACCATGGCAACCAAGACACATAGCAACAAAATTTTATTTGATATACATTTCTGGTGTCAAGTTGTAATATTGGGCAAAGTTTCATCAAAATCGGTGACCATGTGTGGCAAGAAGTTTAAGTGGTTACAGAGAATCGCTATTAATTAGCTAGCCTAAGCTCGTTTGCTTTCTTTTGCCTTGAGCCACATGACTATCAGAGTACAATTTTAAAGACAATTCCAAAAATTTCGATTACCTTATGTAGATAAGTCCAACTTAATATGTCATACATGCATAAATAAAATTAAAATAAAACTTCTAACTTAACGACTCTATAAAAAAAAAAACATTCTATGCACTACGGGAAACTACACACACAGCAATTATTTCAAATTACGAACCATGTGTAAATTGATCAGTATGTTAAAATTGTGTTGTCTACAACTATCACATTTGAAATTATTATACTTGTATGCACTGTTTAATAATCATGTATGTTATATGCTCAAAAGGGCCATTATGTGGAATAATATCTGTCACAAAATCTAGCCAGTGTTGTTTGTCCCTTTCTATGGAATATATGAACGTAGATTGGGAAAGGTGTTATGTAATACACAGATTCTACTTTGCGTATTTACATACAATGATTGAAGTATGTGTAACAATACGGGCAAGAGTGTCCAATCGAAATGGCGCCAAAATCAAAATGGCGGGGTTATCGAGTTTACCATTTGAAGTTAATCTCTAGAGACGAGGTGACTTGTCTGTGAGTGTAATTTATAAGGAATACTCACAACAGTGCCTACCTGACAATTTAAAACTCCATCAGGACCAAACCCAAACAGATTTGATTTTGAAAAGATAGAATGTTTTTTATGCTTTGTCTGAACCCACGGCACACAAGGTGGCAATCCATATAACTAGGGAGAAATCAGAAGTCTGGATATGGGCTCTAGGGATATTATATTACGAACACAATGGAACGATGGAGGACTCGTACTTGGTAGAACCAAGCAAATGGCTAGACAAAGGAAACAAATTTAATTGCATTGGATTATTAAAAGAAACACAATTACTGTACAAAGGCCGTCACGGTAGCTTAGTCGGTAGAGCTCTCGCTCCGTGATCGGAAGGTCGTGTGTTCAAATCACGGCCGCGACTGACCTAAGTCGATAAAAAATAGGTAGCAACTGTTCCTTCCCCAAGCGCTCAGCAGTTTGAAGTGAAAGTTGTGGGTCCTTAGGATGAGACCTTAAAAACCGAGGCCCCGTGTCACGGTAGGCGTTGGCACGATAAAAAACACCATACTAAAACACCAAGTGAAATTACGCCAAAGAACCAAAAAGAACAAACTGGTTTGTCGTCCTCATAAAATACCGGCACTCCCAGAGTTACTTACAGGGATTTTGAAAAATTACATTTTTTTTTCAATCATTGTCCAAGTTAAATGAAACACATACAACACTAGTATAGAGTTGAAAAAAACTGTCGGACTCATTAGAGAACGTGACCAGAACTATACACAATTTGCAGACCCAGTTCAGTACAATGAAATCTCTGGATAAGAAGACCAATGACACAAACTCAGTTAAACTTCAGTCTTATATAGCCGATATTGAAAGGCAATTATATCAGACACGCACAGATAAATAAAACTTAAAAGTTGAAATCTCGAGATTGGAGCAGAAAAGCAAGATTTAACCCCACGGATGAGGCATAAAGTAGAGAACTTAAAACTCTGAAGCATGAAAATGAGCACTTGTCTGGACAAATTTTCAAAAAGAATGAGGAAAATGACGAATTGATGAAAACAGATCACTCAGAAAAAAATTGATGACCAGTTCAGTGAGATTTTGTCAATAAAATCTTTCCAGCATATGTTCATGAGCGTCAGAAAGGACACTGAAATATCCAACTCTAAAGGGATGAAAGACTTCGTAGTAAATTCTGAGAAGAATAAAAACAAATGGCTCTTTTGATAAGTATTTCTAATGTGAATGACATAAAAGAAGATAAACTTACATTAGATGTAAACGTAACAGCATTTACTCTGGATGAAACAAAGAATCTTATTAATAACTCATCATGCATACCAGATATAATAGTTTTTCTACTCGCATTAAGTGATTTAGGGGCAATATGAAAACCATATATCCTTCTGTCTTCAATAATTTAGAAGTGAAAAAAAAAAGATAGATATATGATCAGTATGTACTGGTCCCAGCTGACAAAGCAGGTAACACGTCCCACAATGGGATTCGAAACCGCGACGTAAGGATCAACTCCTTACTCCGCTACTCTAGAGCGAACGCTCTATTCAATGCGCCACGCGGGCGACATCTACAAGTGGAGCTAATAGCTCTCTTTCTAAGGAGGAAATTCTTAAAAATCACACGTCAGTTTTAAATATTTTTAATATTTCCAGCAATCGAAATAAATTTAAATTACCTACCTATACTGGATTTGTAAACTTCATAAAAATCCTAACTAACAAATATACATATGTACATAGTGGGGTTCCAGAAAATGTTCTAACAAGCCTCTTTCTTTACTCCTTACTAAAATATTAACAGCAGTGAAGGAGAAACTTCAGGAGTACTGTACAACAATATATTCAAGGAGTGGTGTAAATCAGATGTGGATACAAGGAATATTTAGAAAATTTGAAATCACAAAATTTACCAAAACCAATAACATCAAAACGTACGACTTTTCAACACTTTCTGCAACTAGTCCGCAGACTTTTTGACAGCTGCTTTTTCAATAAAAATGCAACTCGTAAATTTACTTACCTTGTCACTGGTCATTTGCAAAATCATTTTGTTAAAAACATTCTGATGTACACACAAGTACAGGGTGTTTTACAATATATGTCACACATCTTAAGGCAGAAAGAAAAATTACACCAAAAGCTACATATACATTTTATATATCATTTTAATCAGCAGATGTCCAAAATTATTATTTTAAGTCAGAAGTATCCAACATTCTCTATTTCAGTTTCTATGGCAACGATTTCCTAAAATGTTATACTCAAATTGTCTTCCTTACTATTGTCCTAAATAACTTAAGAGACTCATGTTCAGAAATTTCCGACCACTTCTTTGTACGTTTCACAGGATATTTGACAGATTTCTTGTTTTATATCTAGCTTTTTAGAACCCCCAAAGTGCATATTTATTTTTTTTTTATTGAAAGATGCATTTAAATAAATGT